ATAAATCTTTGTAATATATTCCAGAACATCCCTACCTGCAGCTTTGTACATTTCCCACCAACCCATGTCTTAACTATGAATGTACTATAATGAGATTTGGTGGAGTGAGCTCTGCGGCTCTTCTCCCATTAGAGATAAATCACCCATTAGAGGAAGTCAAATTGTCAGGCCTATACAACATGTTATCTCAAAACTTCCCTTTGCTAAAAGAAAGGTAAAGTCATGGGGAGAAATGAAAAGTAAACTCAAATGTTCATAGCGCCTAAATGTAATGTTGGGTTAGGATGTATTTCAGTGAAATATACATGGGGTATCGGGAGGTGCAAATAGATTGTTATATTTTAAAAAGTGTTTTAAGATGATGTGTGGTTTTGGAGTATCACTAAATAAACAAGATACTTTTATACAATAAGTGAACAGCATAAGGCTGGGTAATGTTTGATCCATACTTACATTTCTGCAACTTACATAATATATGACATTAGTGAACTTTTAATAGTATTTATTTATTAGCACCTCAGATTAAATTTATTATAATATCCTAGGAAATCACTATTTGTGGTGCCTGACAACTATTACAAAATTAAACTTATGCTGAAGATAAGGAACAAATGTCATGTATCAGATCTTGCTGCCATGTTAATGTACGGCCTCATTAAGATCCATTCGGAAGGCTGCCACTGCAGCCTCGACCTGCTGGGTTCAAGTGATCCTTCTGACTCAGCCTTCCAAGTAGCTAGATTCACAAGCATGTGCCACCACACTTGGCTGATTTTTTTTTTTTTAATTGTAGAAATGACATCTCATCATGTTGTCCAGGCTGGTCTCAAATCTCTGGGCTCAGGCAATCCTCTCGCCTCTGCCTCCCATAGTACTGGGATTACAGGAATGAATCACTGCAACCAGCTTCAATCTGGATTTCTGTATTCATTTGAAATTCCTTATTAATAAGAGCATGCTCATACTCATTATAAGATTTCTTGATATATCATGCTAATTACTTTCCTGCACTCTGCCTCCCAAACCACAATTAATCCTATTATAAAAGCAAATCACTGCAAACTTCAAACAGCATGCATCCTTGAGATACCACTATTAAAGGAAGCACAGTGATGGGAAATCTTTGATGTTATCAGATGTGATGGAAACTACACATTTGTATTTGAGTAAATCCTGTAGACTGAAGCATTTCCCCCACCCTTAAATAATCTGAAACCAATTTCAAGTTCCCAAACGCTCTTCAAAGAAGCCGCCTTAGAAGTAATGCTACAGACAGCTTGCATTTCAAATTTCAAGGCAGCCTGCCTTTTCCATCTCAAGACTTCAAGCAGATTTGAAATTTTACTTTCAAAGAGAAAAGATATTATCTACTTTTACCCAAACCACTAGGCTCTGGTCTGATGAACTAAATATCATAGGTAATGAATTTACCTATCGTAATGAAAAGATGGTATGTAGCCAAATGTCTCAAAGTCTGAATTATGCAACTGATTCTAGTGAATTCTGGGCTGTGTGTGCTTATATACCTCATGACTCAGTTCTTTCTTATTCTTGTGTTGTTGACTAAAAGTTGGAATGTAAACTTTGGGCCATGTGGCAGGACAACTACACAACTCACCTCCTCTTGAATGGGGCATCTGTAAGCTAAAGACAAAAATCAGTGTGTGTTTGACTCCAGTGCCTACAGGGAGCCTGGACTATACAATTCAGAGCATTCATAATATGAATAACTCCTGTAGCAGGAGGGTTAGTCTGTGGCTTCTTAAAAGACTTCAGACCCATGAGCCTATTTGGGCAAAAGGATACAGTAGACATAGTGAAGTTCTTGTAGTATTTAATTAGGTTTCCTGTAATTGCTTTAAGTAAAAGGGGAGAAGAATGAAACCTGAAGTAATCATCTTGGGACACCAAATATTTGTATGTGGTTTTAATATCCTGAGTCCACTTGTCGCTGTTCTGTGTTTTAGAAAGAGCCGTTACAGTTTTAAGGAAATACACACTGCAGGTTTATCAGCCCTTTGGTCACTGTAAGTTTGCTGCAGCAACCTTAAAGGAAGAGGTTTGTTTCCAGTAACTGAATTTCTACCTAAGAAGGAATGTATAAACAAGTAGAACAAACAAAATCATTAAACACCAGAGAGTAGGAGAAGAAAGAAAAGAGAGAGAAGGAATTGGGGCTTGGGGAGAGAGGCTGTGCTCCACCTTCCCATAGATTTCTAGATATCAGAATAGTGAGAAAAAACACAATAAGGTAGGAGAATGAGAAGTCTGAGTAGAGACCAGGAAAGAGGGAGGAAAGCAGTATTATTTGTTAATAGCTTAGGATTTTTATTGTGAAGATCATTGAATTAGTTAGACATTGGCTCCTTTTCATAGAAGGGTGAGGAATTGGAATGTGCCAGTTATTTGAAAATTCTCTTTAAACTAGTTACAGTGTAAACATAAAAGGATTACTAATTTTCAAACTTTAAAATAATTTTAAATATACTTAATACATTTTTGACAATAGAATTGTCCCTTTAGGATCCTGCCATGCCTTGGGATTACAAAACCCACTTTTCTGGACTTCATTTCAGCTCAGAAAGTCTTTAGTGAGCCTAAGATCTTAGTAGTTTCTTTCTTTCTTTCTTTCTTTTTTTTTTCCTGAGTTGGAGTATCACTCTTGTCACCCAGGCTGGAGTGCAGTGGCATGCTCACAGCCACCGCAGCCTCTACCTGCTGGGCTTAGGCAATCCTTCTGCCTCGTCCTTCCAAATAGCTGGAATTACAGATGCACGCCATCGTGTCCAGCTAGTTTTTGTGATTTATTGTAGAGACGAAGTCTCACCAAGTTGCCCAAGCTGGTTTCGAACCCCTGGGCTCAGGCAGTCCTCTCACCTTGGCCTCCCAAAGTGCTGGGATCACACGCTGAACCACAGCGCCTGGCCAGTAGTTTCTATTACTCAAGCCATATCAACTCTTGATAGGAAATATTGTTTATTCTCCTATTGGAATAGTACCTAATGCTATTGGGTGGTTGTTAATTTCCCTGAGTGTGCTTAGCCATTTGAATATTTTCTAGGTGTTAGGGAAAGTTCTAGAATATCTTTTTTTTAGAGTTTCTACATGTGTTCTCTCATCACCTATACCCAAACATTTTTAAAAATCATAACTTTTAGGAACTTATTAAACTCTAAATAATTGAATGCACACATATACACTGGTACACACATATGTATATACATTCACACACACACATTTCTATCTTATATATGTATATATTTAATTCTCACTTGATCATGTCATCTACTTGCTTAAAATACTTTAATGTTATTCATGGCTCTCAGGAAGAAATTAAAAATCTTTCACATTGTGGATGAGAGCAGTTCTCATACTTGGCATCCATCAAAACTATTTGGCAAACTTGTTAAAACACAAATTACTGGGCCCCATCCTAAAAGCTTCCTACTCAGTGAGTTTGGAATGAGGCCTGAGAATCTGCATTTGTGGCAGTTTCCCAGGTGATACTAATGAAGCTGTTCTGGGGGTCACACTTTAGGAACCACTGGTCCAAAAGACTTTATAAACTGGACCCTTTCTTGTCTCATGCCACTATTTTCTGTGTATGGTGCTCAGATGACTTCTCCTAAATTCTTGATCTCCTAATTTTCTTTCCTGCTTCTTCTCCTATGTCCTATTTCTTCTGCTCACCACATAATTTAACCAATCTCACTTATATTGAATCCTTCATGCTACATCTCATATGTGTACATCTCCTTTGTGGCATTGAACACAATTGTACCTATGTAGTAAGTTGTATAACCCATTGTTAATAGTATCCCTCTTCACAGTAATATAGTTCACTGAAGGCAATGACTATCTCACTTACCAGAGATCACAAGTGCCTAATACACTTTTAAATAACTGATAATAAATATTTAGAATAAATGTATGAATGCATAGATTAAAAAAATAATGTAAAGCAACACTTTGAATTATTCTTACCGTCCCCATGCTGAACTCAAAGCAAATTCTCCCACTTTCTACAAGTGTTCTGCTGGTTCCCGCAAGAGACACACTAATCTGAAAATGAGTGTGTTCAAGCTTCAGGAGAACTGGAAGTTGCCCACATATACCATTCAGATAATCCCCTTTGCTCGGGGCAAAGAGGCACGCTGCAGATTGTATCTCTGAAACAGCCTCAATACTTCAAAATGAATACTCCTAAAATGATAACCCCAGATTCTGAGCTCATTTTTTTACTCAAGATTACATAATACTATGAATACATTTCAATTATTTCAGCATTGTAGCTGAGGGCTACTTTATCTTTAACATGATTTTACTTATATTACAATTACAGAGAAACATTTGGGCTTTCAAAATATTATGCCTGAAAACCCTAATGTCATAGAGTCTTTGAGGTTTTAGCTATTGTTCACAATTTGCCTTCCCTTCATAATTTCTAAAAAATTTTTTGACAAATACTTGGGATTTACTTAGGATACCAGAAGTGTATTAACTGAGGCTAGAATTTTTTTCAAGTAAAACAATGTCCCATTAAAATTGAAACACAACTGTTAAAGTAGTTTACTTATTAAATAATCATCACAATGACTATAGTATTCAGCTATTGCAAAGCTGTGTACTGCACAACCTATACAACTGCAGTAGAATTCTTACAAGATGTGAAATTCAGGTTCATATTTGAACTTGGTAACTTGGTAGAAAGAGAATTCTCATAAGCTCTCCAGAGAAAGACACTATTTTGTGTAGTGAAAGGTCCTCTACACTTTGATCTTCAGATGATTCAGAAGATTTGAAATAGCAAATAAGAAAATGAAAAAGGCGTTGAATAAAGCAACTGAAGCTAGAAGAAAATCAGAAGAGATAAGAGACAACATCTGGGATGCTGATCCTTGGCATCAAGAAAGTTCATTGGGGGAAATCATGGTGTGATGGTTTACGTTTCTTTAGTACAAGTCTTCTCTTGACGTAAATCTTCCTTTTTCTTTTGTCAGGCCTCATTGTCCGGGAAGTGAGCATTGAGATTTCCCGCCAGCAAGTGGAAGAACTCTTCGGGCCTGAGGATTACTGGTGCCAGTGTGTGGCCTGGAGCTCAGCAGGCACCACAAAGAGCCGGAAGGCATATGTGCGCATTGCATGTGAGTCATTGCACACAGACTCTTTGGGTTTCAGAAGGTGGTGGAAACTAGGGAAGTTTAGACTGTGACTACTATAACCTTAGAGGACCCTGGTCAAAACTCCTGTCAAGAACTACTCCCAGATTTCTGTATTTGGGCCACACATTCCTCTTCAATCACCAGGATATCATTTTTTTTTCTTTTTTTGTTTCAAGGCACTGAATGATTTTCTTTAGGAACATGAAATAATTGTACTACTTTATAAATATTCTGATTTTTTTTAAATCTAGTGGGAATTAAGCTATAGGAAAACCATATGTATTCTTTTAATGAGTTCATTCGGCCAGTTTAAGGCAAAGTTGAGTCAATATTCTATTGGAAATAGAGATTACCAAGATAAAGTTTATCTATTTTGGAAGTGTTCTAGTGTATCAGAACACGGCACTATTTTCCTAATTCTGTTAGTTTCTGGATTCTGGAGGTCAAAGCTCAAAGTGTCAGCAGGTATGGCTTCTTCTGAGGCCTCTCTCATTGGCTTGCAGATGGCCGCCTTCTCACTGTGTCCTCACATGATCTTTTCTCTGTGCATACACACATCCCTGGTGTTTAATTGTGTGTCTAAGTCTCCTCTCCTTATAAAGAAACCAATCAGATTGGATTAGCGCTCACCCTTACAGCCTCATTTTAAAAGGCTTTAAATCATACCTTAAAAGGCTTTATCTCCCAATATAGTCACATTCTGAGATACTGAGTGTTAGGGCTTCAACATACAAATTTTTGAGAGACAGTTCAACTGACAATAATGACTTTTCATGGTTTACATGTCCAACCAATGTTTCCACTCTAACTGTTAAGGATTTCTACATTTTAGCTACACTAGATATTCTGATTTCCATGACGTGTAGCTATTGTTCATTATTTGTGTTCCCTTCATAATTTTAAAAAATTCGTTTGACAAATACTTCAGATTTACTCAATTCTTGGGACAGTTGTAGGTATTGGGGATGGTACTGGAATCAAAACTTATACCCATTCTTGCCCTCATGAAGCTTATGTTCTGGTGAGAAAAGGCAAAAACTCTAAATAAAATAAATAATAATCAGGTATAGAGCAGATGGTTGATACTATGAATTTAAAAATAAAACAAAAAAAGGGAATATGTAGTGCTGGGAGAGAGTGGTCAGGGAAGGTTTGCTGAAGAAGTCAGCACTTGAGGACACCTTAAGGAGGGGAGGCGGGAGTCAAGCAGAGGAAACAGCAGTTGGCACAAGTGCAAATACCCCGAAGCAGTAGTGATCTGGCAGCTTCCACAGAGAGCAATGAAGCCAGAGCAACTGGGACAGAGTGAATGAGAAGAGATTCTTAGATGTGGTGGGAAAAACAAGGCCTGGGGTAAAGACGGGAGGAGTATATGGAGATGGCAAAGGGCTCTGTAAGTGTTGAAATACCTTTGGTTGTGAGGATGAGATGGGAAGACTGGAATCCTTTCAGCAGAGAAACTCGTGAAGGTGACAGGATTGGGCAGAGGGAAAAATGGAGCCGCAGTGCACACACATCAAAAGGTGACCCCATGGGGAGCTCTAATGCTCAGATACCTTTCAGAGTTGTCCACTTGAGGCAAAGGGGAAGAGCAGGCTTGTATTCCCCCAGATAAATGAGTCAATGGATGCAGAAACCTCCTCTATTCCCTGACCCACCAGCATGTGTGACCTGGTAAGGTTAGCTCTGCTCAATTGAGGACAGTTCCAGAGAAGGGCTGAGACCTTCACCACCAACACTCCAAACAGGTGGAACCAGACCTGAAAGGGGATCTTTTGAAAAGGATATAACACAACATCCTTTATAATTTTCTGCCACAGATCCTGAAGAATTGATTTTATTAATTATAAAGAAAGATACTGGCCAGGTGCAGTGGCTCACGCCTATAGTCCCAACACTTTGGGAGGCAAAGGTGGGAGAATTACTTGAGCACAGGAGTTCGAGACCAGTCTAAGCAGCATGACAAGACCTAGTCCCCACAGAAAAATTAAAAATTTTCTGGGCAGGGTGGCACATGCCTGTAGTCTCAGCTGCACTGGAGGCTGAGCCCAGGAGGTCGGGCTAAGGTGAGCTGTGATCATGCCACTGCACTCCAGCCCGGGCAACAGAGTGAGACCCCAATTCAAAAAAAGAAAGAGAGAGAGAGACGGGTGGGGGGGAGAGAAAGAGAAAGAAAGGGAGAAAGGAGTGGGGGGGAGAGAGGGAGGAAGAAACTTTAGATTACTTTTTTAAAGAAACAAAAACTAATTGTTTAGGTCAAAGATTTAAATGATTTCAAAATCAGTTTCGAATAGTAATTAAGAGAGAAACAATGGTAGAAAACTCTTCCTTTATCTTTCATTTGTACTTATTCATTAATATTAAGCACCATAAAGATTTAAAAGTGCCAGTCTACACTCCATGCTAAATTCACTTGCCTGAAACTGAAGTTTAAGGGTTGCACAGTTTCAAATGATGAATTTTTAGTTTAATAAGCCTTCAATTTCCACTGATTTTTATAGAAGAATGTTGTGTCAATTTTATATATATTATATATCCATGAGTGTGTGTGTGTGTGTATGTGTGTATAACCTTATTCAACCGCTAAACATTAAACACATGTAAGTGTAAAAGCTCTTTCTTCACAGCATATTCTGTAAACTATGCTATTTACTTCAAATAATAAGAAAACAAGCTTGACTGACCGTGGTTGCTCACATCTGTAGTTTCAGCACTTTGGGTGGCCAAGGCTGATGGACTGCTTGAGTCCAGGAGTTTGAGACCAGCCTGGGCAAAATCTCTTCTCTAAAAAAAATTAAAATTAAAAATTAGCTGGGCATGGTGGTGTGCACCTGTAGTTTCAGCTACTCAGAATGCTGATGTGGAAGGATCACCCTTGTCCAGGAGGTCAAGGCTGCCATGAACCATGATCATTGTGATCAGGCTACTGCACTCCAGCCTGGGAAAGTGAGACCTTAACTCAAAAAAAAAGAGAGAAAGAAAGAAAAGAAATTCTTATTCTATAAGAGATTAATTTATTCACAGTACCTTTCACCCTCATTTAGTAATAATACTCAAGAGCCTTTTGACTATAATTCCAAAATCAGTTGAACTCATGTGTGGCCAAGGAATACCATCCAACATATAAAGATTTACTCATGTTGATACACGTCATGATAGAAACCAAAAAAGGATGAATTTCAAATTCTCTCTGTCCAGGTTGACCTGTACCAAGTGGGTCCTTGCTAATGTTGCAGAAGCTTGTGAATTTGTTGGCCTGGCCTGTATCAAATGAGCTATGGTGCTTTGCCCAATAATACTTGACAGATGGCCATCCTATTAACTGCAGCTGAAGTTCCAACTTATCACAGGTGAAGATAGCCCTGATGCTAAGGTTAAATAAGTGTAATTACCTCTCACCTAATTAGTTTTGTGCTCATTTGGTATATTATGGAGGGGCCCTTTGTTCTTTCATGAAAAAGTCCTACTTTGAGAAATTTATACAACAAAAATGTATATTGACTATTTAAGTTTGCTTATGAGTATTTCATACACTCATGCTACATAAAATATAAAAACAAGTTTGTGAGACAATCAGGGCACAGGAAAAATGGAAATATGAAAGTTTCAGCAAGGTATGAGCTGAGAACATAAATAAGTCTGCTCTAAAATCCTGTACATCAGCCAGGCATGGTGGCACACACCTGTAGTCCCAGTTACTTGGGAGGCTGAGGCAGGAGAATTGCTTGAACCCAGGAGGTTGAGCCCAAGAGGTTGAGCTGTGATCATGCCACAGCATTCCAGCCTGGGCAAGAGAGTGTGACCCCAACTCCAAAAATAAAATAAAATAAAATTCTGCACATTTACGACAGGGCAGTGCCAAATTTCCTAGGTAGGTTCTGCAGCTTCTACTGCAGAGAGAACTCTAGTTGACACTAAAATGATTGCCCTAAGTAATACAGGTACCAGTATTGTGGGGTTGCTTCTCTAAGTGTCTCTTATTATAGGTTAATGGGAGAATCCCAAGGTGTAAGGTAGGAAAACACAATTCAGGCAACATGTTAGCAAATACCATCTTTCCTCAGGAAAGATTTTGGTTTCAATATCTCCACTTGTTGTTGATGTCACTATTGTTGAAAATGTGTGATAGTTTTTGTTTGGGGGGAGGGGCATGATATGGAAAGAGCAGCATAGTGGAGTACTTAAGAGCACAAGCTTTGGGGACAGGCTGGCTTATGTTCAAACCCTAGTTCCATCACTTAGTCAAGTGACTTGACCTCTTTGAGTCTTGGTTGCCATCAACTGCAAAATGAAAATGATAGGGTTTTTTTAAGATTAAATTAGATAAACTTGTAAAGCATAATGGCATAGTGCCAGACACAACACAAATGCTCAGCAAATGTTAACAGGTATTCACAAAAGTCAATATAATGATTTAAATGACTATGTGTTTATTTTGGAACACCAATACTAAGTAAACTTTGAAAACTAAAATGTCTGTCCTTCCTTTACCACTTCCACCTGGGGTGTCAATTGTAGGGGTTGGAATTCTTTGCTGATGCACATAAAATTAGACTGTGATTCCAACTCCAGCTCCCATACCTGAGGATGGAGGAACATGCCATTTGGTCACCTTGACCACTGTATCATGAGGTATAATGGGTTTTATGTGCACCGAAGATTCATCTTCCTGGGAATGGCAGGTTAGCTTCTCAGGACTTCCTCTCTATCATGTGAGCAAACAGATAAATCACAGCCAGCATCACAAAAGCCAAGGCTGCAGAGAAGAATAAGATCTTTCCTGGAAGCAATTAAGGATGATCAAGGTGGTCCTTTCTTGCCCCCTCTCCCAGTTCAGTCATCTTTTTTTCCTGGGATCAGAACTGCCTTGCCAACCACCTGTTGGTTTGGATCAAGCCTTGTTTGTATTTGTGAGTCTGTAGTGTCTAAAACGACAGTGTCCAGTAGAAATATCACAGCAGCCGCAAATGTCATTTTAACTT